TAAATGGAATCGTTTTCCCTCGTCAGCCCAGTGCTTTGAAGTTGGCTTGGAAAGATGGGGGGCACTTGTCAGTAATGCATCCCGCTGCCCTGCTGCCCACCTGATGGGTGCAGTGCTGAACCCATTCCAGAGCTATGTGCTTACAATCAACTACCAAGTCAGTTTGTTTCAGAACAGCTTGAAAGCAGCATTTGGTTAGACTGCAGCTCTGCAAACAGAAAACCATTCCTTGCAGTGCAGAAATGTGCTTTCTTCCTGATAGCAATTGTGAGGCCAGACCGCATTTCCGACTACCCATTTACAGCAGGTATCTTCCTGACAGATTATTTGTAACAGCAGCTCTCTGGACTGTGATCACAAAGAAAAATAAATTTTACCAGCAAAAAACATGCATGAGTTCAACAGTTATTAATCATAGCTGAGCTTAAAGGCTCATTCTTCAAAACCTTTATAGGAATTCTGGAGACAAATGAAAAGTAGTTTAAGTCTCAGCCGACAAATCCCAGGGGATGGCTTTCCCTACCTGCCCACACAGATCAGGAGCCCAGACAAGCCTCTGCAGCCCAGGCACTAAGATGTCAACACTCAGCTTTCTGCTACAAGAGTTCAGCAGAAAAATAAACATCTTTTACCAGAAAAGGGACTTCATCCAAAATCACTGCAGTTTTCAGTCTTGTGAAGTCATAGTCACAGGGAGCAGGAAAGTAATTTCTCAGTTTTTAAAACCTCACTAGATAAAAAGGAAATGTGGTAAGTTTAGGTTTGTAGAGTTCTTCGTTTGATGTTTGACACAATGTTTTATTGTTTCTGTCATTTAGGTCTTTGTCATACAGAACAAACTTTAGATCACTCAAATCTGAAGTTTCATTACTGGCTTCACCCACTGCAGAATTTGAGGCCCTGGCTAATTTTTTTAATGAGATTTAAAGACAACTACTAGAGAATTAGACTATATTTTTGTATGACATTAATAATAAAATAACTTGGGGTCCACAAGCTCTGAAAAAGGTATGCAGAAGTGTTTATAGGGAATACATTTTTATATCAATCAAGATCACAGGACTGAGAAAATTATTTAAATTACCTTCTCGTAAATCCACCAAGAACCTGGGGGTTACGGAGGTCCCTCTGTCACTTCTGTGAAAAGGTGGAGATACCTCTATTTACCTTTATAACTTACAGATTTCAGCACAGGATTCTCATCCCTGAATTTCAACAAACTGAGCTCCGCTTGACAAGACACCTCCAGCATATCATCTCCTTGAATTAGCAGTAAAAGGTTGCCCACCACTCCACCTGCATGACAGCCACACTGGGCAGTGCTTGGCAGCATGTCAGCCTCCAAACAGGATAACAGAACAGTTGCTGACATCAAACTTGAAAAGCAACCATTTTCTTCCCCATCTTCTCACTCCTCTGTCCTCTCCAAAAAGATCCAAGCCTCTACCAACATACCTTCCTGAAACCTGCAGGAAAACAAACTGACATAATTGCTTTCTTAATTTGTACCACAACATTTGCATTCCTGGGGCATATGCAATGGGAGGAGATGCCTCAGACTCCAGCAGAAGGGAATGCACATACTAAATAGGCACCACAAAAGATATGAAGAAACAAACTCAAAACTCAAAAATTGAGTTTTCAGCTTTTAGTTTTCTGGCATAAGATAACCCCCAAATGACACCAGGTATCTGGAAGTTACATGGACAAATTGTTTGCAGAATTAGGCAAAATCAAGTAAGAAAAAAAAATGAAATAAAACAAACTTTGGAGACAATAGATTGTGCATTACTGAGAGAATAAAGTAATTTCACCCCTACAGACTAATTCCAAGTCATGTTTTGCAACCATCTATTGAAAAGGCCATCTGGCCCCAACGCAAAACATCTCACAGCTTTGACATGCACTGCACTGGACACCCAGATTTGTATTTGGTCACACTAAAGATCTTTTCCAGGCTAACTTTCAGGAAGTTTTGCCACTGATGTAGGAAGGCAAAAGGATTTTAAACATTTCTCCAGAAACACAATAGTTCTGGCAATTTTTTAAGAGTGGATCAGACACAACTCAGCCCGAGGAAATAGCTACTGCAAATCATGTTGATTGATAACAGTTTCAGAGCCAAGCTTCCTTTGATGCAGAGAAGAGCTTTTTTTTCCTGAGGGAATAAAGGGAAAATTAGAAACAGGAAATGGAAAAACCCTACAGCTAAAGAAACAAGATGCTGACGTAGTGTGAGATTGTGTCTGTGTCAAACACAGTCCCCCTCCTCCCCCTCCCCCATTTCACTACTAGACATGCCAATCCAAAATTCCCAAGTAAAGCCTACAGCAATATGCAAGATTCCTCAGACACAGCAACAAGCCCCTAAATGGGAACCAGTGAGAGCAAGAGCTGTCTGAGAAAGTAAGGGCAAACTCAACATTTCTGAAGGCATTGAGAAAGGAGAACTGCACTGGAGTAGAAGTCCAGCTTAAATGAGAACACTGGATCAAAGCCACTCAAGTAGTGATCTTTAAAACAAACATATACAGCCAAGCTGTCATTATAACTTGAAATAAAAGGCTGAGAGTTGGAGCAGCTACACCAAACTCACTCCATGCCACAAGTGCTTCAAAGCAGGAGGTGGCTCCCAATGTCCAGCGCCATTCACTGCCCTGCAGAATGATACTGTTTCTGCCTCTGCTTCCTCCTACTTCTGCTAATCTAAACACAATGCCGTGGAAGACCTATTGTGCCACTTCAATGTCAAAAAAATTGAACTGAAGAACAAGGAACTCAGTAGACAGTACTTAAAAAGAACTTTTTAGGCAGTATTTAAGGGAAACAAAATACATAAAGCTCCTTTGTGAACAACATGAGAACAGAAAACGAGAGGAGTATTTTAATCAACATTTTCACACAGTGAACATTTCTCTAAAATGCCAAAATTTTAAAATGGGAATCATGTCCCTGACTGGATTTTCTGCACCAAAAGAGCAGTCAAAGTTCAGGCATTCTATGCATAGAAGAAACCTCCAGAAAAATGAGGACTTAATATTCAGTATTATCTAAACCAGACAATCTTTGTCCCAACATGCTATATACAAACGTATATTTAAATGAGAATAAAATGTGTGGTAAAGCTATAATAATAATAATGAATTAATAGTCTTGAGTGAAGATTTTTTCAGAAGATTCTGCTTTTCCTCCTGACACATCTTAAACACACCAAGAAACAGAGCACTGAAGTCAACTCCTTCCAAGCCCACCAAAAGGGAAAAATAATATTCTGAGTTCTTTGAAAAAAAAAAGAAAAAGCTTTTACAAGGGCTTTTTAATTTAGTACAGGTTTCACAAAGCTTTAAATTTCTCTCTGAGTGGGTTTCTGAACTGTCATTGCTGGTTATTACTAGTAGGCACAAAAAATTCCCATTTTAATTAAAAAACTTTATTTTGAAATACATTGTACAGTTTACATGTGAAGTGCTTTCAATATAAGATATTTAATAACATTACGCTGAGCAAAATGGCTGACCAATTTCCTCAAAGCTCTTCCAGTTATGGGCTTTTTTTGTTAAAACTATCTTGCAGAACTAAGATGCAACTTGGGCATTTGTATTCAGAAGCTAATTGCTATGTTTTACCTTAGGGAAAAGGTATATACTCAACTGTTCCAATTAACTGCATGTTTCAATAATGATAATCATTTGGCATAAGACTGAAAGAAACCCAAGCCCTAATTAAACTTGTATTCACCAAAGATTTTTTAAAAAAACTTCATGATCAAACTATTTTGTTAATAAGGCACAGTCAGACAAGTATTTACAAAGGCTGCCTACCAATTCAGTTTTACCTGCACAGCCTTCTTGCTGGTCTGTCAACAGTAATCTGAAAGTTGTTTTCCCTGTCTACTGCTGAGACTTTCCAAGAGCAAGGCAGAGCAGTAAGGCAACTAAAAGAACAGGCATGCTCAAGAGTTTGGCATTTGGGATGGATTTTGAACATCTGCAAAGTAGTTCATTTTATAAATGGAGCATTCACCTGCTATTATTAAAATGGTGGCCAACTGTGATAAGGTAAATAGAAGTGACGCAAGCAGAGGTTATTTTAATAGGAATAAACAAGATGTCTGGTATGCTTTCAGCTAAGACTTTGCATGCAGCAATTACCACAACTTTCAGAGATAATCTAAATTGAATTCTGAAATTGCCCACTGCCACTTAGGAAAGCTGAATGTAGCAGGAGGTTTCTTGATAGCAGGTGAAATATCAAGGAATGAAATCTCCATTTAGATAATGAGCCAATATTGCATCCTACTTTGCATTTCTTATTAGAACAAAAGGAAGTCTTTGGGAATGACAACTGAAATAATTACATCATTATTTTGGCTGCAAGAAAGTTCAAGAACTTTTAACATGGGATGTTCAAACATGAAACAACTCTACCCACAGTCAAAGAATAAAAAATAAGAATGAAAAACAAAAACAAAACAAAACAAAAAAAGAGAACCCTTACCTTCCCCTTCCAAATAATCTTTGAGGAATAATTGCTTGAGATTAGCACTGTATGGCTTCTGTGGCCTATGAATGCCAGACAGATACTCTAAGAATTATCATTTCCATGTTACTGCTTGTTTTCAATTGTTAGTAGCTTCAAACAAAAATACTTCGTATATTTCACTTGAATAATCAAAACGAGCATAAAAATCATTAAAAGTATATTGCTGATACAAATTGTATCACATACTAAAAGATACTACTTCATAGATTAATTATGAAACAGAAAAGATCAGACTATACAAAAAGTTTTCCAAATTCTTTTGCACAGCTGAACTCATAGTGCAGGTTTAAGATTAAAAAAAACTGTAAATGATGTAGTCAACAAATGTTGAATACAAAATACATTCTAAAGTATTTTACAGAATGGCTGAATTATCAAGCATAAGAACTGAGAATAAAAAAATGTTAATGACAAGCAGCCACATACAGAACACAAAGCAATAAGTTTAAATCAGACTATTTTGGTTTGTGTAGCCCTTTATTAGCAACTAAAATAGAAGATATCTGTTGTACATCACGGGTAGTAACTGACTATACTGGAGTTTTATTATATTCTAATACAGAATCATTTATAAATGCGTTGTTTTCCTTTTTTTTCTTTTATTAAAAAGCTTCCACCCCCTTTTTCCGTTTACAACTTGCAAAACTATTCTGAAAGCTGAGTATATGTGCACAGGTCTGCAAAGAGTGCAAATTTAGGATATGGTAAATGCTTTACATGTTCTATTTTTAAGGACAGTCTACCACCATGCCTTCATAGCCATTATCTTTTCCAAAGAAAAAAAAAACTCTCAGAAAAAGCTCTGATACCAGTCTTCCTTCCATTGTCCTAAACAAGAAAGCATTTTTAAATGAGTTGAAACTAAGGAAGGACTACACCTACTAGAAAAGAACAGAGTTCTATTAGTTTGAGGTTTCAGTATACCCAAAGACCAGGGACTGTATCTTTGTAAGGGCTAGGCTGGGACCCCGTATACAGAGTGTGTGCAGGTGCCATCCCTGAGCATTCAGCAGTTCAGTGGACCATAAGTGCTCCAGCTGCATAACTCACTGAGCTGTCTTGCCAGTTTCGACACTGGCTTGACTGAGCGTAATTCAAAAATGAAAAGCTCATATTCATTCCATTCTTCTGGAGCTCATTGATAGCCTGAGGAGAGAAAAAGAGTTGTTTAAGAAAAGGTATCAGCTAAAATTACATTTCCTAGGCCTCCAAGGTCCTTTCTTATAAGCTCATTATAGAAGCACCTCCCAGTAACTAGTGGACCTAGCCCATTTCTGTGCTGTTTCATTCAATGATGCTTCCCCCACTGCACTGCATACATCCATGCAGTTCTCTAAAGCACCACTGAACCTTTCATGATACCTCCCCTTTAGAAACAATTCTTCCAATTCCATGGGGAATTTATATAGAAACACAAATACAACAGGAGAAAACTCAGCACTATCAACACTTCAGATTCTATTTCTTCCATTAAGGAAAAAGAAAGTACAAGGATCATTTATTCAAGCGTGACAATTGGCAAAAGTGAATGAACAGAATTTAGCTGTGATTCACTGCAAAACGAATAATTATCCAAGGGTAAGAGATGTGTATACTTGAAGCGTAGTCATAGTACTGAACTTTCGCTACATGCATCCCCAATATTGATATTGCTCAGACAAACTTTTATGGACACTTTAAAACCTTCCTCTCTATGTTCTCCATTCAGACTACATTCCCAGTGAATTAAGTTTTCCCTTTTTAAAAAGTTAATGTGCTTCCTTGTTTCAGATTTGAATTACAGTAAAAACACAGGGAGATTCACTCAAGCAATATGACAAATCTGTAGCACTCCACCAGCGCTGTAAAGCAGCTGTGAGCAAATTTAGACAAGTAAGTTAAGCCAGATTTATGTCTGCACTGCATCACCAAAACAGAATACGGTAACTAGAAAGTAATGTGAATTCTAATTGCTGTTAATTTATGAGTTAATGGTGCTCTGCACTAATACTTACTGAGGCCATCTCTCACCATATTTGCAAAACTCAAAACCACTGCCAGACATTACAAGGCACTCACAATAGCTAGCTAATAGCAATATAGAGAAAATAAACACGTTCATAAGTACTGATTCAAAAGAGCAAGTACATACTTCTTCAGGGAAATGGATTTATTTGTTCATTTATTTAGGGCCAAGAGGAAGTGAATGATTGCATTTTATTGAAATTCAAAAGGAATATGGTATCTCATCTCCCTTAGGGAACTCAAAATCCTCAGCCCTTTCAAGAGCTTACATTTGTCTATATGCAAGACATGAAAATCAGAGACCAAATTGAGAACACTTAAAATTAATTTATTCAAGGCCTGACATTTTAGAACTAAGGAATACTGCAGCTATATTGTTTGATACAGATGCAAGCATTTTTCCAGAAGTTACATTCTTCAACAAGTCAAAAAGTTACTTACATTTAATAGCACTCCAATCGGATGTCTTCCACATATTGTATTATGGTATTTCTTCAAGTAATTGCTAAAAGATACAGGATCTAGCTGTTCTATAATGCTCATACCCTGAAAAAGAATTGATAGCAATAATTACATTACACATTCACAAGCAGGTGTTTATCCATCATCTATTTGTTACAACTGAGCAGGCGGAAAAACCCTCTACTTGGTACCAAGGATATCAAGGGAATCTCAGCATGTGAGCTCTAGCTTGTAGTCATCTTGTTTCCATTCCTTGCCAAACTAAAAGTGCAGGAGCTCTTCCAAAGCTGCCAATACCCACAGATCTGTGAAGTTATCTTTGCAAATACCAGTGAAGCTCATGTTAAAAATCCTGCAGACTAGCTGATCCCCACCATCCAAGACTGCCCCACTTCTGTAAGATTTGGTACAACTGTAACCAGACAAATTTACTAAAAGGGCAAAGCAGGAAGAAGTTGTGCCTCCATCTGCTCTCCCTGGTAACAAAGTTCAGGGCCAAGCACTTGTCTGGGACTTCAGGATGTCCAAAAACCCTAGATAAAACCAACACTACACACATGCAATTCATGCACATGACAAGTGTGATATATCCTGGACACGCTAGGCCTGTAAGGCAGTTGATCTGGGCATGGCCTGGCCATTTGCTCAGAGCACAAAAATCAGATCCAGAAAATCTCTAAGCACTATCAAGTTGGTGCACAACAAAAACTTAAGAACCAGAAGACGGTGCTTCCACTTGACATGAGACAGTCACATGTGTACATCCTTTCTTCCATTGACAGCAAGATCCATGATCCCATGGAGTCATGCTAAGAATACCAGCACACGTGTGGAAAACTAAACCTTCCACATATAGAAACATTTGCATTCTTAAAAGCAGAAAGAATCCTTCAACTCCAGAGACTGCCTACTCTTAACCCATCCCATAAAGCAGACCAAACACCATGGAAGCAGTTTAAAAACAAGTCTAAATGAATTATTGTCTCGGTTTCATCATGGGTTTGCTCTTGACTGTATTAGACTCCATCCTCTTCTTTTTCCCTTCCTCTGAAAATTATTAATTCACTTCACCACAGAAATGAGCTCCAGACACTCACTAACTCAATAAAATACATAGCTATGCTGCTTCTGTTGGTGAAACAGAAAAGAGTCTAGAAAAAAACATACTTTGAATGGGAATAACTGGAGGTTGGTACCAGAAAACGAGATAGTTTCTTCTAAGATTTCTGCATTTGTCCCAGCTCTTTCCCCTACTTTTGGGTGATAAAAGGAGAAGCCACATTGCAGGAAGCAGTCAGTCTGAAGTCTCCCCCTCAAGAGTAAAATCTCCAGAACATTCTGCAAGGGCACTGGCTGATCTGGCAGATATCAACTAAATTACTCAGGCTGGATCACAACTTACAATGGAGGAGCAGAAGGTTCCCAGGAGAGCTGGGAGAATTATAAAACGGCAATGATAACCACTACCCTTATCCACTTTTAAACAGAAACAGACATAAGATGAATTAATAAAGAAATATGCTTTATGGAAAAACAAAACCAAGCTGGCCAATTGGTGGTAACAGCTCAGTTCTTCTGGAGTTATGGAGAGGGTGTTTGGACCCTTGGTCAGTAATTACAGCTGTTAATCACTCCAGATCTATACAGCCTAAATGAGTGCCAAAGAAAATAATGGTAGCTATTCTCTAACTAGCAGTGGTTACATAGATACCATTGCACTTCCAAAGTTTCCAAAGCATATCTTTTAACCATCCATTTATTTATAGATTATATATGTCAATACACAGTTAAAGAAAGCAAAACTAAACTTGACTACATAATCAAGTGAAACTAAACATGCATACGGCACTTACTCAGATACTTAACAGTTCATGAGAATATATTTTATCTGTTTATAAAACCTCTTCATGACCTTCTAAAAAAATGAAAGCAGCTGCTCAATTGAGAGACTCATTTTACAATTGCAAGTCACTGGAACATACTGGGCAGAGGCATTTGAGCATTTGTCCCAAATGAATGGACATGGATTTATGAGAATGCCTAGTAAGCTTATTCCAATGTACCGTTCAGCACTGCAAAACATTTACAGCTATACAGTTCATCCCAGAAAATGCTAACAAGAGTTCCATACATCAGACACTGGAGAAAGTCTATAGGGAATTCATACAAACATGTCCTATAAGCACTAGGTTATACTGAACTTTTCAATCTTTTGGATTTAAAAATCATTGTGGCAGAGAAGCAAAGACTATTAAGCTTGCTCCTCAGTCTAAAATGGTGTTGAGGAACAAAAAACATTTCTGCCAGGTTGTGTTTTATAAAAAGCAGGGGTATGAAGCTAATAATTTTCAGTATTCCAAACAACTCAGCCAGGCAGAGCTTAGAACAGAATTAAAATACGTAACAAAACCCACATGATAAAAGTGTAAGCATAATTCCACAGTTTATCACACAGTCACTATGGTATCACATAGAAATTGCATATCTCAGTTACCCAGATACTACTAATGGCATCTACAATAACCTAGCACAGTGCACATAATATGATTAAAATGTTACATTTTAAAATACCATCCCTTTATAGGATCAAGTATCTACAACCCTACAAAAAACTTCAAAAATAATAACTCCATGCACATATCTCAAAACAAACAAACAAAAAAGCCCTCCAACCTATAGGTTCATTTTATACTATATGCCAATAATGCTTTGGCTGGTCACATTGAAGTTTATTATCAATTATTTCAGCTTCTTCTTCACACTCAAAGATCTAAGCTAATAGCACTCTAATGGAAGTGGAGACAAACTTGATCTTAGTTCTATCCAGCCCAACTATCTTTGCATGTGTGAGTCACTCAGACTACATGACAACCGCCAGGAAAATTACTGTCTGGCCACAGATAAGATAACAGGGACCTGGGCATCCAAGCAGAGACTCATAATCTTACATTATGCCCAACCTAAGAAGCATTCTCAGGCTGGAGCAATGTGGAAGGTCCTGGCACACTGCAGCTGCACTGCAGAAGCCACCAGAATTTAGCAGGTCATTAGAGCTACCTGAGATGCCACTGGAGCTAGCATTTTTCCTGGACAAGTACTGGCTATTCCTGCACAGCATTCCTCAGTGACTGCATTTTCCCCCATCAGCATTCAGGGTAACACAATCCTCCCATTGACTCAAGTGAGGTGTAAAGTATCCCATGCCAAATATATGCTCATATAAAATGAGCACTGTTGCAGTGAAGACTGAAGTGAGCAGTCTGCATTTTCTGGCTAGCCAGTCAAAACCAATTATTCTAAAACAATGTCTTACAAAATACTTTCCCCACTTATATGTAAAAAGATAGCATGTTTCACATTATGATATACAAACTATTGCAAATCAGCTGCTCAGTTATAACTCCTCATTTGAGGATTCACCCCTAAGGTACCCCTTCTAACCATGAGGCTATTTCCTCCTTTTGCTGTAATATCACAAAATGCGCTGTGGTGACGGGTGAGATACAGTAATTACCATGGAGAAATTGATGTCTGCCCAGCAATATTTACTACTCTGTATTTGTTTTATGCTGGAGTCTAATGGCTGTAAACTTCAATGCCCCAAATGTTCAGCAGTTTTTTGCACTAGGTGAGAAAACGCATCTATATGTAAGGTACAGTTCAATTAAGGAAGAGGCCATCATCCTCCCACAAAGGCATTTCAAAAGAAAATTGATTTCATCTTGCCCCAGAACACCTTACAATGTGCTCAGCTGATTGCTTTCCTAGTTGGGGGCAATAAAATTAAGCCAGTTCTAGCACAGTTCTGTCTCTATGTAAATACTATTTTGTCTGTGTAGAGGCATACTAGTTACAACACTACAGGTTTGTTTAGCACGTCAAATCACATGAAAAAATCCAATACTTCTCTAAGGACACAAGAAGTAGCCAAGTGGGACATAATATTGAACAAACTTCCAAATACTGGAAAAATGTGACAGGGAGACCTTTGTGATATTGCTAACAAGATATCTCTGAAAATCACCCAAAGCAAAGCTTCCTCCATATAGCATCTGAATATGGAATCATGTGTTCAGATATGGCATGATATAAACAAGCAAAAAATAACCACAGTATGCTGCTATACAGAATGTTTCATTTTCCAGTTAAACTGAAGACTGAAAAGGTATTTTCATCGTTATGAAACAGTGGACATGATTTTCCATGTTACAAAAAATGTCACTTCCATTCAGCTGAATAACTACCAAAAGGAAGAGTTGGTGCAACAGTGTATTCCCTAAAAGTAATTAAATGCCGAAGTCATCTTCAGGCTTTCACCACAGAAATTAACAGGGGGAAACTAATGTTTGCTAATGCACCATAATCTGCCCTCCTGCAAAAACACTCAAAGCAGATGATTCTAGGATTCTGTAGAAAAACACTTTTATTGATAGAGAAGTCTCTCAAGTGACTACAAGAATTACTAAAAATGGGATAAACAGAATGAAGGCAAATTATTTACTGCTATTATTACTATTCCAGTGATGAATAGCAGAAAAACAAAGAGGTTAATATGTACATACAAAGCAAAAAAGTCTAGAGATCTCTCCAGCAGATAGTATTTATTTCTTCAAGACAAGGAAAAAATTAACACACCATGAATAAGAACAGCTCTCTCTTCTAACAAAGGAAAAAATTAACACACCATGAATAAGAACAGCTCTCTCTTCTAACAGATTCTACAGAAGTTACATAAAGGATGCAAACATTTGTAAAACAAATTTTTATGATCTACTGCTTTTTCCCCACCACCTACTACATAGTAAGGGGCAGGGGGAAGGCTATTCCCAAGGAAATGGTGGCTTTCATTTTCCTGACCAGTGCAATGCCCTACATCCTTTCCTTCTCCAAATGGATGTTGCTGAAACCTTTGCATGATCACAATGCTGCTTCCATAAGCAGGTATCACAGCTATCAAGCTGGAACTACCACAATTCTCCACGCATAATTTTTATTGCTTTTAAAAAACATAGGAGGGTATGTGGACAGAAATGACATTAGGGCATTTTAGGTAGGTGAACATGCATTTATTCTCATTAATTATGCTTACTAGTTTATACCCGCAATACAATTGTGTGCAGTCAGTAAAAGGGAGGAAACCAGCTAAAACCAATAGCTAAATTCTTATTGTGGTAAACAAAGGATAATTATACATTCAATAAAATAGCTGATCTATAATATCTTGTTAGAGAAATTTCTCAAGTGTTCAAAGAAATGGAATGTACAGGAGAAATTTGTTAGTTAGTTCCACCAAATCTGAAAACTTACCATTTTATCTAGGTGCTCAATGGATCTATAAATTTCTCCTTGGGATTCATCATAGTAACTGTAACGGAACCTCTGACCTTGAAACAAAAATCACGTATAAAATAAAAAAGGGAAAAATTGTAGCTAAAACACTCCCTAATACTTACTAAATATTTGAAAGTATAATGCTTGTAAAGTAGTAATCTTCATTTATTTTATACTTTTTAGCTCCATTGAGGAAATTCTAGGGCAATCATGAAGTAGCAGCCCAGAAGTAAAGTAAAAAAAAAATACATGATGGATGGCTATATTCCTAAAGAGAAATCTACTAGGTAGAACTGACACTGAAGTATCACTCACTAATTCCCTCTTATTGCCTTAGAATCTAATTCTGTAAATTAAGAAGTAAAGCACCATTTCATTTCGCTATCCCTCTTGACAAAGTTAGCCATGGAGTCAGGCTACTTCTGCTTGCACAGCAATACCCACAGTAAGTGAAGGTTAAAAGAAAAAATTCATGATAATTCAATGAGCAGTTCTAGATGGGTCATTAGCCACAACAGGATCAGGTCATTCTTATATACACTTCCACCTACTCCACAATTCAATGATGAGTGAAATATGCACTTAATTAAGTTGACCAAAGATGACAATGGAAAAAAAGGAAGAAGGTCTGTTGTGTCATATCTTTTTGAAGCAGTGCCTTTTCCTGATACTATCACACTTAAAAGAAAAATAAAATTATAAAGCAGGACAGAAATCAAGACTTCTGGAGTCTTTACAGCTCTGCCACCAAGATGAACTGGGGTAGCACTGGTGAACTGGCATAAATAATCCATCTGCTATCTTACCCAGCGGTAAAACATACAAAACTTATTTCTATCAGAGGAATGTGGGCATGAATTTTTAGCTAATTAGTTTTGAAAGTTGTTTTGAGGTGCTTAAAAGAAGAGTAAAAAGAGCAAGTAACTTCAGACAATTATTTCATTACAACAGTAAAGAAATGTATATAAATCCACACACCTTCACCATTTATTTCCTCCACTAGGCTGAGAACATGTTACCACATCAATAGTTTTTACCTATTATTCCAGATCTTAAAGACTTTCTTTAACTTTATGAAGGCATTTAAGTTGCAAAAATAAATTTATCAAAAGTTAAAATGTTCAACGTTTAATAAAATACATTATTTGAAAACAACTACAAAATATTAAATATGTCTTATAATGAGATATGAAACTTACCCCAATGGCAAAAGTCAGAAGAAACCACAAAGAGATTACTAGGATCAGCTAGGTATTTACTGAAGAGTTTTCCAAATTCCTGCTCTTTTGACTCACTCAGTGCTCCGACCAACACAGGAATAATAGTAAACTCATCCTTATGGCTTATAAGCAAAAGAAAAAAGGTTGTAATTCAAGTAACATCTGAAGAATTTTCAGGGCTTGCTAACTGAAACTGCAGAATTGTTTAAAAGGTTGCTACTGATTTGAGGATAGTAGTTTGGTAAGATCATACTAGGATGTTGTTTTAGAACCTCAAAGTACTTCAATTTCAGAAAACACACATCCCCAAAACCAGTATTTTTCTCAGCTGCAAAGTAAAAAATACCAGGCAAACAAAAAGAAAAGACACAGTGAAATCAGCAATGAAGTAAGAATTAAATTTTCCCTGTATAGATGCTGCATGTTGGGTAATTCTCCACAGTATATGAAACACATATGAAAATGCTCAACACAGTACCAAAATACTGATACCCTAGGGAAAATTCAAAAAACAATGGAAATTGAAAAAAAAAGGGATGGGAAAGATGTTAGGGAAGAAATCCCAACACAGATTGACCATTTTTATTTAAAGTAAACAATCTGAAACAGCAGCTATACACACTCCTGATTTCAAAATTAGTATTAAGGCTCCAAACAAACTTAAAATCCCACAGAAAACTATTTTAACTTTCCAGAGATGCCTTGAGAAGTGGGGAAAAAAAAATCAGCTACTGAAAAAAGTTCATGACAGTATATCTAATATTAACTCTATTAAGTCAACCTGTTTCTAAGAGGTGTTATAAATTCATAATTTAGGAGTTTGTTCTGCTCACAGTTTCAACTACAGCAACTTATCCTAGTCTCCGAGTCTCTCCTTACAACAATTTTCTTTGGGGGATGGGAGAGTATGAGATATATACATCATAAGGTCTTTGTGTCATAAAATGTATTATTATTTTCTATTGGGCTTCACAGCAGCTCAATTATTTAATGCACATAATGTTCATTCTTGCAGAAGTAATTAGCCCTAGTACCTTTCCATGGCTTTAGCAGTATAAGGCAAATGCATTTCAATACTGTGTTCATCTTCATCTGTCTGTAGGGACATGCGCTCAAACATTCCAGTCTTCCACAATTCTCCATAAACTGAAATGAAATAAAGGTCATATAGATAAAGATTTTTACTACTTTTTTCTTTTTTATTGCTTATTTTTGAAAACTATTTCAAGTGCAAAAAGCAAGCTACAGTGTACCTTTATCAGAACATACCCACTATAAAAAATTACTTGCCTCCAAGGGCTATCATCATAAACCACTTGTTTTAGTATATTGAAAAAGATTTTCAGTTATGACACAAAATCTAATTAAACAAATAAAACACATTTCAAAATATACATGCATTTGCCCAGTCAATGAATTTTTATTTTCAAAAACTGCCCATTATACGGTAAAAAAACCATCTTGTCAGATGAGATATTGCTCGATTTGTTACTATTTAATAGAATTTATTATTGACTGAATCATGAAATCTAGAGACAGCCACAGCTGATTAAGTAATCCACATTTGTAAGTTATCTTTTCTATTCTCAAGCATACTTGAGAGTATACAGATTCATCTCCACATCTTGAAAATCCTCCACTGGATGAGGAATTTGATGTAGGGCTGTGCGTCCTTCTTGACTACATAAAGGAGTTCTACAAAAAGCCAAACATTTCTTACCAAAGGAAATCTCTGCAGGCACTATGCAGAAAGCCTGAATTAGCTTGTTTAATCACAGTTTCAATGAAACATAACACATCTGCACTAATTAGCCCCTCTGGAAAAGATACTGTATCACTTAGGTATACTTCAAAACACAAGAAAGCCAAAATGTCAACTTTATCTTTGCCACACTTTGTTCAAAAGACTGGCATTTCATGGACTAACAGTTTCTAAGTTTGCAAGTTAAAAAGTCACTTGCAATCCAAATAAAAGCAATTTATTTGTTTCTCTGTTTTTCCTCTACCAGAAATCAAACTCAAACCAACTGAAGAACCTTTCTCTCCAGCCAGAACACTTCACAGGAGAATGGAGAAGATGTTTAGTGAGTTATTATTTGATGTAACACTTTTTTAGTTTTAAAACCCTGAAGCACACACTCAAACTTGAAAAGATAAGCAAAAATTTAGAATTCTTGCCAGAAGGAAAAGAGACACTATGATTATAATGCGACCATGTCTGAAGCAACCAGGATCATTCAGAAGTTAGTTTTTGTTCCACTCAAAGCAGATTTGCACTTGTATGCCACTTACAGCAAGGAAGTGCCCAGCAAGGAAATCCTCAGTACTGTAGTACCACAGTCAATACCCAAGCCTCAGTGAAGTCCAAGCTTTATAATGCACTTACTCTTTTGGTCAATTCGAAGATCATACAGAGGTGTTCTGTAAATGTCCACACTGGAAAGTGCACATCGGGAGAGGGGCACGTGATGGGAAGGCCCAAGAATGAAAATTTTTCGGCTACAACAATTAACACAGAAGGCCACAATTTAGACAACTGCAATTGTACAGCAACTCAGCTTAGAGTAACAAATTTAATAAAAGCATACAAAGTGATACCTCCTCATGGCTACAATAGTTTTACTCTGTTGTCAGTAAGACCCCAGATCAATTAATGATCAATCCAAGATGCCTTGCTTGGCATCTCAGGAATTATAATGAGATCAGCTCAATAATGCTCTAGCCTTAAATCTCTTAAGCAGGTTATATATCAGAGGGCACTCATCAGCTAGAAATTTGTCTGACTTCACTCATTTGGAGGCTGAATGATGTGTTACAGACACTTAGAATAGATTTCTGAACTCTCTCCTTGAATCAACACAACCCTCAGCTACTCACCATCTTCAATAAATTATGTGTTTATTATCTATTCAGTTTTTCACTTATTTACTTGATTAGCCTTACTTCGGCTTCACTAAATTAAATTTTCAGTCCTTCTCAAATGCTGAGTTTATGTTATGTTACTTTTTTTCTGCTGTTGCATCAACAACAGAGACATGGACCTGCACATTCATAGCTTTAGCTGATACTGCAACCTTTTACATGTCATCATGACACCGTTATTTCATCAAGTCCTCAGTTCCTGGCTCTTGATTAGATGTTAAGGGTCTCCTGCCACACGACTTACAAGGAAAAAGAAAAAGAAAAAAAATAAGGAATTCAGCTTTTCAGATTCAAGATTATATTGTCTTGTTTCTGGCACTAAACTAAAGGGGTGGGAGACATGTAAAGTTCTGAGGGCTTTTTTCTTTTAATCCCTTACACATAGAGTGTTACAGCAAGGTATACTAAAGCACAAACTTCCTGCAAAGCTAATAAATCCAAATATGCAAAAGTTTACCTCAAAGATGAATTCTAAGTATTCCATGCAATAAAATAGCAAATGATCCAGCAAGTTCAACCAACTCCTTGTCAGGGAACCTAGGGAATGTAGCTTGTTCCGGAAATCTTAGAGAAACTAGGTGTCTGTCATACCATGAGCTATTTTCACATCATTTGCAATAGTTTAGAAAGAACTAAAACCATTGTCTTTGAAGAGTACTACAGCATGTTATCTTATGAACAACTGGTAAATGTAGCCAGTTTTTACTCAGCATTGTAAAATACATACTTTGAGTAAATACCAGAGACATTTTAAATTTTTGTTATAAAAGAAAGAAAAGTTGCCGTCAGCAGGACATAAGAATTATATTCCTTTACCCAAAAATAACTGGATTCATATTTTTAGAGGCAGGCAGAGACTACAACAGCATGTTGGGTTTTTTAAGATTTTTCTTTTTTTTAAACTTTCTAGAAACAAAATGTCCATTTAAAATTATTGGAACAATTAACTTTCACTGCCTTTACATATTCTATAAACACACTGGTCACTTCATCACAGCAGAAGGGAATCCTGGCAGTATTCAGCCCATAATCCTGCACTAAAAAAACCAACGCAGAATCATGGTGAAGTATTTTAACATGCTTAATAAAACAAACAAAACCTTCCAACAATAATAAAAAACCCACAAATAAACAAAAAAAAAACCACCAAAAAAATCCCAAAATCCAAAAACCCAACAAAATCAACTTGGGCTTTTATAAAAGCAGTGGAATACCAGAAATAAACTGCAAAAATCTTTAATCCCTTCCTTGTAAAAAGTTAGTTACCAACTATTTAAACCATATTCCTTTTCTCCCCCTTTTATAACATCCAATTTGAACATTTACAATGTTAAAATAGAAGTGGTGCAAAGAAGGCTAAAAAGAATACAAAATTAAAATGTGAGTACTTCAAGATGTAAGAATGTCACAAGAACATTCCACTTATCAGAAAATTGCAACCTCAAGGTCTTAGGCTTTGTAAAGAAAGCTGTAATACTCACGTGATATTGGGATCCACTTGTTTGTAAGCATGGGCTGCACAAGATCCACAGTAGGTATATCCTGCATGGCTGCAAACCAAAGTGTACAAAACATCAAGATCTAAATACTGCTTAAGATCTTAAATATGTTGATATTCAGTGTTAATCCCTCAGGATTTATTTTTTGTCCCCAGTGAACTATAAATTTTAAGAGTGTTCCAAAACTCCTGAAAGAACAGGAAAGCACTGCTGCAGTATTGATCACACAAGACATATTTATTGAAGAACTGGCAGTGACCATTTACCAACCAGTTAAAAAACTATCAGTGACCACTGAACAGCCAGGAAACCCCCAGATCGAAGGACCTTCCCTTATCTGTAAGGGATGTATGCAGACTGCCTGTTATCAGACTAACGATAATGCTAACAGTGCAGCCAGGGAACAAGGGAGTGGCAAACTACTGGAGAAAGCTCTTCTAATCACACCCCAGTAACTGAATATGACAGTAGAGGGGTCTTGGCAAAGAGAGAACTACATGTCACAGCAGATAAAGAGAGAATAAATATGCTCTGTCATTGAAGAATAACTGAGCAACAGAATGAATGAGCACATGGAAAGCAGTGGAAGGCAGCATGCTAGCTTTTACTGCAGGGAATGAGCTACATGCTTCACCATTTCCCATCAGTCTGACCTGGTCCTTTCTTGACCTCTGTTCCTGTGTGTGGTCCAAAACAATTTGAAATTATTTTGACTAGTTGTTTCAAATATTGCCTTCAAATCTGAAGGCCCGTTCTCTTCAAGACCATTAAAATGGGTGAAAATTCTCTTTACACTGCCAAAAGCATCAATTTCAAATTAACCAATTTATTTGTTCCTAGAGTCTCAGGTCAAGAAAATGGCTCCTGGTCACTCAGCAGTAGGCCCACACTACAGCTTTACACAATGACACTGAGAATGATTCACGCTGCAAGCCCTGAGGTACGCAGGATGTTTGAAGATAAAAGTTCCCATTGATAGCACTGAACGATTTTACATGTGTTTGTATGTATGTATGTATGCTCAGATACATCTATATTCATCCACAGACTGATACCTGGAGCAAGCCACCTTCAGCTTGACCCTGGGATTTTACCTCGACATCACTTACCCCAATCATTCTAAAGAGCTCAGAAAGGTATTAACACACATGCTAAGAGGAGAAACAAGAGACCAAGACCTCACAAATGGGCAAGGTACGTTAGCAGATAATGTCAAAAGAGCCTACTGAAATGCTCCCTCTGCTACAGGCTTCTTCCATCTTCCACAAAGATATTAAGACACATCCCACTTCACAGGTGGCAAAAAAAAGGGCATGGTTAACAAAAAAATGTGGTGAGATCACAGTAAGACCCTCAGCAATTCTGGAAAAAAGAACCAAACTACATAATCTGCAGCTGAAAGGTTTCTTTCCTGACATTCCTGCAAGAAAGACTAAGGTAGATATGGGACAATTTTTTCTGCACACTCAATACTATTATTGAATACTTCAAACATTATGACAATGTTATGTTAGCACAGCAAAAACATATTTAAGGTGCTCTGCCTACTGTTTCTTTCCAACTCATAATTTACTTGGAATGAACAACATACTTCTGTCATTACATGTCAGCTATCTTCAGGAAATTGATTTCTCCCCTAAATAGTTCAGATGATCCCTATTTCAGCTGCAGACAAGTAGCTCAAGCAAAATCAAACTGAAATAACGAAAGCAAACTATTTTGGATAGTTGCATAGTGTTTAATTACTTTTTGCTTTTAAGCTTTGCTAAATTTTATTTAGAGGGTGTGAGGCATGCCAGAGTTTTGTTGATTTTGTTTTGGGATTGTTTTTTTTCCTGTTATTGGAGGGGTTTTGTTGTTTTTCTCATTAATATAGCTCTTACCCATCTTACCGGATCACAAACAAATATTACACGTGCAGTCCATCAATAAAAGCAAGCTAATCATACACCCAAATGTGCACAGATTTCTGCCATTCTATGGTATATCCAAAACACTTATTTAGAAACCACACAACACTTTTTTCAGGTAAATATTAGCTTTTATCAGTTTTCATAATCACTCAGGGGAAAAAAAAGAGCATTTAACCAATTGAGTATGAGATACACTGAACTTCTGTTTCAGACTTACGGTGCAATAATGGCTCTTGCAGGTCTTTTTGTGGACTGTACTTGAGAAAGCCAACCTTCTAGCTGTGCATTCAGCTGGGGTCCTGTGAAGAGACATGGAAACAATGAACCATAAAAGAACCTAATACATCTCAAAAACTTACAAATAAAGCATGAAAGGCCAACAGATTTAGAAGTCATCTTAAACATTAAAAGCTGGGTTTGAATCTAAAAACAAACCAACAGAAAAAGCCACCCCCCCAAAATACCCAATGCAACAACAAAAAGAAACCCCAACCCTATAAAGTTGAAGGTTACAGTAGGAAAGTTGCAACCTCCTGGTCTGGAAAGTTAATTTACTGCACATCCAAACACACACTTATCGTTTATTGCTCTGTGGGGACTACTGAACACATCATTTCACCATTTGAAAGAATGGCTGCTGATTTCAAAAAAATTGCTAACAGATGATTGTTTCTTCTCATAACTAAATTTGCAGAATTCAGAAGTAAAAAGTCATGATCTTTATCAAGAGAGCCCAATATGAGAAGATGACATAATAGAAAGGCCTAACATTTGCATGATAGCAAATGACTATGGTAATAAATCCTTTATTAAGCAAATACAAGAGCATAATACAAAACACTGTAACCTGGAAAATACATCAATGCACAGGAAAAAGCTAAAAGTGAGAAGACATTATGTTTATCCTAACACCTTAACAACTTCTGATCAATCAATATATTCTGCAATTACACGGTCACTTCAACATTAACTTCAATAACTGGCCAATCAAGAATTTAAATTTTTTAAACTAAGTTCTAGACCTCAACAAATAGCAAATATTCTTAATTCAATCACCTGACAGCTGATGAAAAAACCTTCTAGAAACAAACATTAAAAAAACCAAAACCAAACAAACCACATTTTGATTATTTCCCATCACAAGAAAACTCTCTGATGTTAAGCTATCCTTCAGGAAGCAAGTCTGGCAAATACAGTAAAACATTCTCTCATACTAAAGAACGCTAAACAGGCTTTCAAGTAAAACTAATTCAGCTGCTACTGTTACAGGTTAACCTTAACAGCTGTTACTGTTAATGTTACCATTAAGAAAATAGATGCACTTTTTTCAGCTGTGCTTTTTGACACAACTGTACGCCAGAAGAGTTTATCTGTAAAATATGGTGCAACAAGCTGCCTTTCTTCTTCCATGCACATTGTAGATCGTTGTATCTTCCTGATGCAGGTGTTGAACTACCAACAGTAATTGCCAGTGTAGGTCAAAACCAAATTATGTGTCTGAAGCCATTTCACAGATATGTTCCAAACAGCCCTGACAAGGACTGACAGCTCTCCAAAAGGCAGACAAGAACCATAGAGAATGAGAGAAAAGATACCAGCTTTTGCAGAATCCAATAAATCCCCGACCAGGGATAGTCAAAAAGCTTTCCCTAGAAAACACAGGGGTGAGGGGTAGAGGTGTTGAAGCCACTAATTTTTACACAAAACTTAAATCCATGTGTTTCTTGAAAAAGGACAGCTTCTGTAGCTGCAAAGAGCAGCCCTACCTTCTTATATGAAGGAAGTGAACAAGTGCAGCACCATTTTCCTGTGCCTTCTATTATACCTTGAAAGCCTTAGTTACTGTCTACAACTCTAACAGAAAGAGTGACACACATTAGCTGCTGTCACTCATGTAATACGGTGACTTTGTGAAATGATGAAATTGTTAAAAAATTCCACCACATACCAGTTTTATTCTGCTGCTTCTGTCACTTGGGAAATTACAAGCAGCTGACATGCAATAGATATAAGCATAATGACATCTTAGAAAATGGAGGATATTGGGGAAGCTAAGTAAAAATAAATAGGTCTCTATTTCCACCCTCCTTCTAAGATAATAGGAGACTACCAAAACCGTACTCTTTTACAGTATTACCACATTATATACTTGAGTGAAGAAACAAATCACCTAATTTCTTTTTTTACTTCCTAATTCTCCCAAAATACGTAGTAAGATAAAATACTTTCTGAATTAAGCTCTTTAGGAGGACACTTTTTCCCAACACTAACTACCAGACATTACTTTGCCC